TTTTCCAAAGAATAAGCTAGATCACTCACAATATTTATCGTTTATTATTGCTAAACTAAGTGAAAGGAAAAATAATTAAAGTTTTCTTAATCAAAGTTCTTGAAGCTACAAGTTTATATTGATCTTTGATTACTGTAGATAGAATCCATGCAAATTGAAATGTACTACCAACTTGGTTGTTAACCCTTAGCTCAATTTAATGAATACAATTGTCCACGAAGAAGGGATGTATAGAAAAAGAGTAGTTGAATACACGTTAGTAGTCTTTTCAAAATGTTTGGGTTGCTTTCGAAAAGAAAAACTTTTGCTCTTGTGAGTGTGTGAGAGTGTAAGTAATATGGACTGGTATGCCTATATCCACCCAATTGTTAGATAGAATCTTCTAATATAGTGAAGCCCTTCAATACGTCGAAAACTTCACTCATTCCTTATGTTCTTCTTCTTGTCTCCCTTGATATATTCTATCAAATCAAAGCCAGAGTTCTTGCACACCTCAGCTTAACTTATAATAAACGTATCTATCCAAAAAAATATGTCATAGAGTCTACCGCAATACGCGAGAGTACATGCATGTACAATAAAACTTCGAGACTGCTCAAAAACATATTTGTAAATAGTAGTAAGATCATTTCTCGTAAATCAGATGCATGAATAAGATCTATCATAAGCAGAACAGTGTTGATAGTAATTGATTACATGTCATTCTGATGCATCAAACACGATAGTAGATAATGAGATATTAAAAAGAACAAAGAAATGTGTTATAAAAATAATTTAAAAAAATAAAAGTAACAATGCGGAACAGTAACAGAATAACACCTTAAAGTAGTTCTATGAAGTTCGTAAAATTGTTGCAACCGAATTATTTTCGCTGTCGATGAGTAAACATTTTCAAAAGTACCAGAAAATCATTTTATAGTATTAATCTGTTATTGTTTCAATTATCACAACTAACCTGGATATCACGAAAAAAAGCATCGGCAGAAGACAACAATGAGCGATTGCACAAATATCTTTGAAACTACACATAAAGGTGTTGCTACATTTATTATCTTATATAACTTCACCCAGTGTTTCGTTAGAAGGAGATAAGAATATTTTGCCTTGCAGATATCATGCATAGTCTTGTGAAATTGCTGTGTATTGTGATAATTTCCGTTCATGGTCAGTCTGGCAATTTTCCCGACTGTAAATCAGGATCACTTTCTGCTCAACAACGAGCTGCTGACTTGGTCAGTCGTATGACAATAGATGAAAAAATTACACAAATAGTTACGACAGCTGCTGCTATACCTCGTCTCGATTTACCCAAGCATGAATGGTATAGTCGGAAGCTTTACATGGCTTAGCCTATTCACCTGGTGTTTCATTTGGTGGAGACGCACCAGCGGCTACTTCTTTTCCAATGCTGATCAATCTTGGAGCTTCGTTTAATATGCGTCTTGTCTATAATATAACTAGTGTTATATCAACAGAAACACGTGCATTCAATAACAAAAATCGAGCAGGTCTCAATCTCTTTACACCAACCGTTAACATTTTTCGAGATCCACAATGGGGTCGTGGTCAAGAAACACCTGGGGAAGCTCCATTTCTTACATCTGAATATGTCTATGCATTAGTTCAAGGTTTACAACGTGGTGAAGATGAACACTATTTGAAAATAACAGCTGATTGTAAAGCATATAATGCATACGATTTAGAAAATTGGATTGGTACTGACCGTTTTCATTTTGACGCAAAAATAAGCGATCAAGATCTAGTCAAAAAATGTATTCATGATGCTCATGTTGCAAGTATCATGTGTAGTTACAATACAATTAATGACATACCGAGTTCTGCTAATCAATTTGAAATTGAAATGCTTGCACGGTAAAATCTGCAAGTCGTTACTTGTTTTTAAAGTCAAATGTTTTTGTTCTTAGAGAATCATTTCGTCTCGACGGTTTCGTAGTCAACGATTCATCATTATACATCGACTGTAGAGGATACAGTTGCTGTAGCTCTTCATACCGATACAGATCTCAATTGTAGTGATTTCTATTTAAAACATAGAAAAGAGTTACTCGATAACAAAACTATTGTTGAGAAAGATATTGATCGTGCCCTTGAACATACATTCAATGTTCTAATTCGACTCGGCTGGTTTGATTCACCTGAACAACAATTTTATCGACAGTTGACAAAAGCCGATGTCGATACACCTGAATCACAAAAATTATCATTAGAAAGTGCTCAAGATAGTATTATTCTATTGAAGAATGTTAATAGATCATTGCCATTACATATTGATCAATTAATAAACAAAAAAATTGCATTGATTGAACCAACGGCAAATGCAACAGAATCAATGCAAGGAAGTTATTTCGGTAAAGCTCCATTTCTTATTGATCCAGTAACAGCAATCAAAGCAATGACAGCAGGTATTTTATTGAGAAAAAAACTTGTTTTATTGCATATTAGTTTAAGGTAAATTGATTGATGTTGAATTTGTGAACGGCTGTAAAATAAAGGATCCCGATGAGAGTGGTTTTTCAGCGGCTATTGAATTGGCTAGGTCGGCCGATATTGTTATATTATTTGGTGGACTAGATCAATCGATTGAAGGTGAAAGTGTTGATCGTACATCGATTACCGTACCTGATATACTACTTTCTCTCATACACCAACTTGAAAAAGTCGTCCGTTCATCTATTCATGTTGTAATTATATCTGGTAGTGGTTTAGATCTAACTTACATTCGTGTTTCACCTTAATTTGGCAGTCTCATTTGGATGGGTCATGCCGGACAATCAGATGGTTTAGCAATAAGTAACGTTGTTCTTGATCAATATAATCCTGGCGGACGTTTACCAATTACTATGTATCCAGCATCCTATGTCGACGATGTAAGTATATTTGATATGTAGATGATATCATCGAGCACAAACCCTGATCGAACTTACAAATTTTATACTGGCAAAACAGTTTACGAATTTGGAAGTAGTCTTTCCTATACGACATTTCTTTACTCATGGAATAATGATACTAGTATTTCGTCATCGTATTCGATTTTGTCATTGATAAAAAAAAACTATGATGAGCATCGAGTTCTCGTTCGACTATTTCGAGTCAATGTGACCAATGCTGGTGATAGGTCAGGTGATGATGTTGTCTTAGCATCTGCTAGATCACATAATGCGACAATGAATGGAGAAATGTCACCAATCAAATAATTGTTTGATTTTGAACGTATCACTTTAGCTGTTAATCAAACTAAAGAAGTTTTTTTTCCATTAACTGTTCGACATTTATTAGCAATTGCAGGAGATGGTATCAAATGGCTTCATCCAGGTTCATACGACGTTCTCATCGGTCAACAACATATGCATACAATTAAATTATATGGACAATCGATTCAATGGGGATCGAAGAGACATGGTTTTCCATCAAATGAAAGCATTTGACTGTCGAAAACTTTTATTTTTCTTAGTGATAATGATATTTGTTCTATCATCACACATTAGACGTACTGATATTCCTCATGTTTATTATTGAGAACATCTTCTTTGAGACTTGACGACCGATTAACTTCGATTGATCATTACCGACAACATCATCATCAAAGCTAACATCAATACAATTCAAACCGAGAGGGTGTAGGTGTAGACTATCGCGCAGCACCCTAAACTCAGTCAAAGAGGACAAACAATAAGCAGGATGAGATGAAGAGGAGAAAAAAGCTATTATCATCTACATCTCAAAGATAATTGAAAACTGATCGATCATGTTACATTGACACAAAAGTATATTTATAATCGAAGAAACCAATATGTTCTCTCTTGTGTAGAAATCTGGATGTTAGTGAAGATGACTGCACGCTGTTTTCAGTATAGCGTCAACAGGGTGGAAAGAAGCCTTTATTTGCATCAACAAAAATCTTATGTAAAAAATTCAAATCACTACCAATATAGCAGTCTTTCATGTAGAATAAGACAGTATCACAACGGTTCTGTTTTATTTATAGATTGTTTTTTTCGTTTATTACATGCTGGTTTCAAACAGAATCTATACATTCTTTAATAGCGCTGAAGGTTTCTTCTGTGGCTTTAAGATAAAGGTTTATTGGAAAAAATGGTTTCGGTATGACACCCACACTCCGAGACATCTTTTGAAAAAAGTCAGCCTTCTATCATGTTCGTGAACAAAGATACAGCATGATTCACGTATTTTTACTAGTTTTTCTTCAGTTTGCTGTATTTCTATGAAACATCAGAAGTTATTTACTTCTATATGATTTGGTAAAGCATTGATTACTCTATCTAACCGTATAGTTCTCATTTGATCATTTTCGTATCTTGATAGGAAAGGGAACCAATTTCGAGAAGCACACAAAAAAAAATTTTTTTTCTGTGAAATCTCTAGATGTTTTTCTCAAATAATGCGAGTGATTATTACATATTGGACAAGGAAGCATTTTGAATTTAATATAGCTCGATAGAGAATTCATTTTTCTATCAAACTATCCATTTTTCATTCAATTTATTCCTCAGTTTTACTGAAAGTTTAGTGAATTTCTAACGATTTGTTTTAATAAAAGTTCAATTATTGATTCTTGTCGAGTAAATTATTCTTGCCTAATCACTACAATCTTTCCCATTAATATATGGTTGAATAGAGCAACAGTTACTGTATTGATTCATGCAATTTTAATCTAATTTAGTCGTAGGGTGTTATACGTAAATGTGAGATCATGCGGATAGTATCGAAAATTTAGTAGTGCAAAAGTGTCTAAAATTTCAACAGTAAAATTTAATTTTCTGCTCCAATCTAAAACTGTTTCATTCAATACTTTGTGCAACCTTAAGTTAGACGGATCTCTTGCATCTAAAATTATTTTTGCAACAATTGGATTTGATTCGAGTGAAACATGATTTTGCAAAACTTTTATTTAACCATTTTTGGAAATTCTTTTCTTTTCTTATTAAGACACGAAATAAATCAAATGAGGACCACATGGTTAGATAGCGTAATCAATGCTCTACCAAAACACATAGAAATAAAAAACTTCTGACGTTTTTTAGAAATACAGCAAACTGAAGAAAACTAGTAAAAATAGATGAATCATGCTGTATATTCCCAGGTCAATCCTGCTCGGTTGTAAACGGCTGTATACCAACCAATTACGGCCATCGTAAACAGTGACTGTAAATAGTTGCTGTTAATGACTACTGTAACAATACGGCGACCGTATACGTGTATGAGATAAAATGCTCCAAAGCACCGTATCCAGCAATCGTAAACAACCGTTTCCTTAGTATTACACCCATCACAACCGACCAGCGTGAAAGCCCATCGTTTACGGCCGCCGATAAATTACACCGGCTCTAAGCGATAATCGGTCCATTTCAATTGATCAAACAGATTTCAAGATTGTATTTCTCAGCTCTACAAAAGGCGCAGCCCTATACATATACCCCTCATTCGAAAGACCGTCCCCGATAACCCTAGGATCGGCCCGAACATGCTAGGACTTGTCGTGAAAAGGGGGGGGGCTAGCTACCTTGCTTTACAGCGTTTTCTGTGTCGTATACGGTCGTTTCTGGTCGTCGTAAAGCTCGACCTGGGTAACAAAGAAAGTCAGATAGCTGTTTATTTTGGTATCATTAAAATAAGATTTCCGTTATTTTTAAGAGATTCAGGAAAGGAATAAAGTTATAAAAATCAGTTCAGTTTTCTGTTAATTTCTTTATGGTGATATGGACCATTATAAATAGTAATCGAACTCAAGCGTTGTTATTGGATTTGCCAAATTTAAAAATATTTCTTTAACAATTGATTGTTTATTTTAGTATAACTTTATGTTAATTGAAATATTTATTTCGAGTCGAATATTTGTTGATAAATTAAACTTTTATATAAATGATTCATTCTTTGTCGAATTTCATGCCTAGTTATTTTTTGCTGTCTTATTTTTATTGCGATCGATTTGTTATGAAACTAATGTGTAAATATTATTGTACGAATGAAAGAATATGTTCTCCATTGCTTAATCTTTAGATAATTAACTGAACTTATAAACGTCTGAGTCTAAAGTAAAACTGATTCTTGTAAAAATATTCCGTAATCAATGCTCTACCAAAGCACATAGAAATAAAAAAACTTCTGACGTTTTTTAGATATACAGCAACCTGAAGAAAACTAGTAAAAATAGATGAATCATGCTGTATNTAACAAAGAAATTTACAATACTATAAAAAATAAAAAAAAAAATACAAATAAAATACCATAAAATAAAAGAATTTACAATAAAATAAAATAACTTACAATACAACAAAAATAATTCACAATACTATAAAGAATGAAAAAAATAAAATAATTCACAACAAAATAAAATAAATTGCAATACAATAAAATAATTTACAATATAACAAAAAATTTGAAATACTATACAACCTAAAAAAAATAAAATAATTCAGAATAAAGTAAAATAATTTACTATAAAATAAAATTAATTATAATAAAAATAAAATAAAACTTTAATAAATAAAATAAAATAAATAATTTCCATTCACTGTTGATAGACTTTATGCCGTAATATAATCTAAAACAAAATAGAATTAAATAAAATAAAATAAAAATAAAACAAAATAAAATAGAATAGATAAAATTCTTTACTTTAATCACATCTATGCACTACTGGTGTTATTTACTCACACAATATTACGTGTGAGCTAGGGCGCTGTGATTAAAGTGGACAAGAAACTAAAAATAAAAATACAATAAAAGAAAAATGAAAGAAAATAAAATAAAAAAATTATAAATAAAATAAACTAAAATAAAGAGCAATAAAAATATAATAAATGAAATAAAGTATCTATAGATACTTCCGTGGCATTGGATTTCGTCAGATCCGACAAGTTCCCATTGTCGGATTTCATCGGATCCTATTGTCAAAATTCGACAGAATCCAACGGTGGAAATCGTCGGAAATTAACGGATGTTAATGGTTTCCCATAGTTGGATCCGATCGGATTCCGACTGTCGGAACCTGTCGGATAGCGTCGGATCCGATAGAATCTGCCAGAGTGAGTTCGAACTGGGCAGAAATCGCGACACTTCTTGCTAAATAAAAACACAATTGAGTTTAATTCGGTTTGGATATTGACTATACCTTCAGTTTCATTTATACACCCACCCTCTAATATTCATTCAACAAATGCTAATGTAAATAATTTTTTTGTTTTTGAGAAGGTAGGTGTACTTTATAATGGTTATTGCCTTTTTTAAAATTATGATTGTATAACAAAAATATGTTTACACCACTACAAATGGTAAGAACGATTTAAATAAACATGTCTATTATCCAAATCTAGTATATCAAGATTGATAAAAAACAAAATTGGTGCACAGTAATTGATTTTATAAAAAGAATTACTAATATCTTTATATACAATAGTCTAAGCTCATAATCTCATTATCTAACCGCAGCAATAGTGTTCACTATATGCTGAGCATGGTTTTTCTAAATCTTCACTTTCATTTGAAGCATAGTACAGTGGCTCAATGACTAATCACAGTCTTCTACTGTCTTCTTGCTTCATTCGACAACATAAGCATTTGATTGTGCTGCCAATGTGATTCTCTGTTTTCTTCGATAAATTTTACACAAACCAATATGTAAAACGCGTTGTGTTAGACTTGTTCAATTAGTGTTAATTATTCTTTTGCGAATATAGTAGAAGCTGGAACAATTGAGTCAAAGTTGAAACTAAACAGTCATATATTTTTTTCTACCAAAGTAGAATTGGATGTGGTTGTTGATATTATTCTTACATTTATTCACGCCCACACTCACTCTAATTATGTATTGTTCTATTTATTTGAAAATGCTCCTCCAGTAGATTGTGAGATTTCTAGAAAAGTTTAGAAAGAAAAGCGAAAAAAATTTCAATCGATGTTAGTGACATTCAAGACGATGTCCGAGAGAAAAGATAGTTCAACGATTATTTTTTGTTAATTCATATTTAGTGATTAATTGAACAAACAAGAATATCACAGTGAAAACTTTTAGAAATGTGAGATAAATAAAAAAGAATTGGTCGACATCTATATTCTATCTTGAAACTCTTTTGCATTTCACTGCAACTGTAAATGTGAAAAAGTAGCTATATCGGCTCTAAATTGTCAACTTATCGGACTCAAATATTTAATATTACATACTTTCTCAGATACATTAATCTTTGTCGCTTATCAGAGATGGAATCGATTCATAGTTTCTGTGAAACTGAACCGAGTCAAAACTTAAATAAGCTAGCGAATATACTGGGTGTTCCAAAAATCATGATCACTTAATAAATACACATAACTCCACTACTGATCAACCTCAATCAAATCTTTTTTAAAGTTGAAATAGGATATTAGTAAGTTTTGATTCCCAAAGACAAAGTTCACCAGCAATATAGAA